AGACCGGCTTGGCCTGCAGCATGTTTGTTCGTTTCAGAAGATCCATAACATACCGGTGTTGAGTGAGATGTAATCCATCCGATGTTCGAGAGACCTCGACGCCCAAGAAAAATTTTAAGTCTCCAAGATTCTTGATGGAAAAACGATCCGAGAGCATGGTAATAACTTGCTGACAGCGTGAGGCATCATTGCCGGTGACAACAATATCGTCCACGTACACTAGGACGTAGAGAACCACTCCATGCTCTCGAAGAATGAAGAGAGACGTATCCGCTAATGAGTTGTGAAACCCGGAAGCTAGTAGAAACTGGCATAACTCGGTATACCAAGCCCTTTGGGCTTGTTTGAGTCCATATAAAGCCTTGTGTAGCTTGCATACGTGGGAAGGACGATCTTGATCGATAAAGCCCGGTGGTTGAACCATGTAGACTGCATCATTGAGCCGACCTTGTAAGAAAGCATTGTTTACGTCTAATTGACGTAAACTCCATCGAGAAGAGACTGCAATGCTCAAGACGAGTCGGATAGTTGCGGGCTTAATAACCGGGCTGAATGTGTCATGGTAATCAATTCCCGGTCGTTGGTGGAACCCTTGGCGACGAGCCTTGCTTTACACCTGTCAAAAGATCCATTAGCATGATGTTTTATACGAGAGACCCACTTACAACCGACAATGTTGTATGTCGGGTCCAATGGAACCAATTCCCATGTTCCATTTTTGACTAGTGCGTCAAATTTCGCTGTCATAGCCTGTCTCCAGTGGGAAGATTTTAGAGCCTGTGACACTGTGGTGGGTTCTATATCTGGTGGATGAGGAATGGTAGAGGTGTTGGCATATTTGGGAGATGGTTTGGTGATGTTGTTTTTAGATCGGGTGGTCATCGGGTGGCTGTTTGGTGGAGGACGCGAAGCAATGATGTTTGTGTCGGTTGGATGAGGGTCTGATATGGTTGGTAATGGAGCTGGAGGATGGTCAAGGGGCTCGGTAATCTCAGGTTCTGTGGTTGGTAATGTAGCTGGTGGTGATAATGGATCAAGGCGCGGTGAGGGTAATATGTCGGGTGATGTTAGTGGTGTTGCATTTCCCGGTGAGAATGCTCGAACTGGGGCTGCAGGAGCTTGAGATGGCGTTATGAGTGATCTAAAAGGAACCACAGAGTGAGAGAGAGGCTGCGAAATAGGTGTAGGATCAGAAGGTTCAGTGGAAACTTCCGAAACTGACAATTTTTGGAAGGGAAACTCGGACTCATAGAAGGTGACGTGACGTGAGGAGTATACCCGAGAAGTCTTGGGGTTAAGACAGAGGAAAGCACTTTGAGTCAGGGAATACCCAACAAAGATGCCAGGAGACAACCGAGGATCGAGTTTGTGATAAGAATACGGACGAAGCCATGGGTAGCATAAGCAACCAAAAGTCTGAAGTTTGAGATAGTTGGGTGCGGACTGAAACAGCTTTTGGAATGGTGATTCATTGTCGAGAACTTTGGTGGGAAGCCTATTGATGAGGTACACGGCTGTTGGGAAAGCTAAGGACCAAAATGACAATGGAATAGAGGCTTTGGAGAGGAGAGCAAGACCGGTTTCCATGATATGCCGGTGCTTCCTTTCCGAGATTCCGTTGTGCTCGGGGGTGTGAGGTGGTGTAGTGAGGTGGGTAATGCCGTGGGAAGAAAGAAACGAGCGGAGAGAGATGTATTCACCGCCGTTATCAGAGTAAAGGGTTTGAATTTTGTAGGTTGTAACGATTTATAACAAGGGCTTTGAATTTCGGAAATATGTCGAAGACTTGAGATTTTCGTCGAATGGGATAGAACCACGTATATCGGGTATAATGATCAACACAAATCACATAGTATTTTAGATTATCAAAGGAAGACACGGGTGAAGTCCATACATCGAAAAAGAGGATTTGAAGAGGGCGAGAAGATTGTAGAGTGGACATACTGAAAGGCAATTTGTGACTTTTATTAATCGAGCATGGGTCACATAACAGAGGTTTAGACGATTTAGAAGACAAAGGCAACGAAAAATGACGAACAAGACTCAGAAGAACGTCAGTGGATGGATGGCCAAGGTGAGAATGCCAATCCAAGAGACCGGGTTTTATTGTTGAGTTGACTCTAGGAGAGCGGAGTAAAGGTGGAGAAGGGATAGTAGGCCACTCATAAATACCATCTCTAAGCTTTCCGGTTGTGACTTGCACTCCCATTGCGAGATCCTTCACCTGAAAGTGCATGGGGAAGAATTCAACAGAAACTCGGTTACTTTGGCAAAGCTGGTGAATGGAAATCAGGTTTTTATGAAGGCTTGGGACATATAGAACATTTGTAAGTGATAAAGATCGAGAGTGAAAGGGTAAAGATATAGAACCCATGTGGGAGATGGTGTGGTTGGAACCATCTCCTAACTCAACATCTTCACCACCGGAGTAAGGTGAGTGAAAGGACAGATTTGCTAGATCGGATGTGATGTGGTGACTAGTGTCAGAGTCAAGCAACCAAGTCGGTGAAGTCGACAGAGCAGCAAGTGTAGTATGGTTGGCACGAGCCTGCCAAGTCGGGGCAGCTGTTGTATGTGAACCAGAACCGTGCTCAGCATAGGAACCGGAGCGAAGGAGGTGGCAGCGGCGGGCACTATGTCTGTGAGTACCGCATAACTGACATTTCCCTTGATAGCCAGAAGGTTTGCGAGAGCGGTTGTCGGGCAGATCCTGCGGTGATGGGTTGTATGATGGTCGTCGATTCCAATGAGGACGCTGAGCGTTTCCAGGTTTGCGAGTTTGAGTGTTATTTGCAGTGACTGGCATGATGGATTGCGCAGGTTCATTGCTTATCATCACAGATTCGTGGTTGAGCAATTTTTCATGTAGCTCAATGAAGGAGATCGGAAGAGAGAGAACAAGGTCAATAAGGTCCTCGTGATCAAGAGGCTTACCGAGGAGAGCCAATTCATCTGCCTTGACTTTGAAGAAATGCATGTAGTCATCGATATTCTTCGCTCCTTTAGTGAATCGATGCATATTGTCTTTGATCTGTTTGATATGGTCACGGCTGGATTGACCATATGTTGATGCGAGAGTGTTCCATGCTTCACTTGTGTTGTTTGCTCGTGCAATAAGGGCCTGACATGAGACCGAAATGGAGCCAAGAAGTGCCGAAAATATGAGACGATCTTGGCGGAACCAAGATGAATAGGCGGGGTTTGGTTTGACAGTATTGTCTTCGGTGATGGTTGGAGCAACATCGTGCTCTGTTTCAAGGTAGTTTTGAAGATCGTATCCTTGGAGCAAGGAGCGAATCTGCAAACTCCAGGTTAAATAATTGGTTGCAGAAAGTTTGATAATGTTGGTAACATTGATGTTAACCAACGAGGAAGACAGGATTTCGGCAGTGTTTGTGGTTGTGGTGACAGGGTCTGTGGGCAAGGTGGAGCCATCATAATTAGCACCATCGGGGACATGGTTTACGGCGGCTCGGAAAAAAAAAATCTGGAAAAGAGGCTTGAAAGCACTAGGACTCTGATACCATAAACAACCTTAAGGTTTGAGAAAAATATATTTCGATACTAAGGAATAGTTACATCACACGTATATATACACTTGAGTGAATTACACTTTAGGAAACAGAATGCCAACAATTGAGGAGACAATTGAGAGAATATTGATAAGAAGATTTCAACGAAGATATCTAAAGATATCCTTCCATTACAGACAACCTGTAACAAAGAAGTTGGAGAGAAAAACAATTACGATCGGGGTTCGTTCCCTTAGCCATGAAGCAAGAGCTGGTTCCCACTCGCACACTTCACATTCTTTAAACTATGAAGCTGCGCCCAAAGCCACAAATCTTGACAAGGAAGAAGCAAGAAATCTCGCGGTTTTCAGGGCTATCACTACCATGGACAATGTTTCTGGCAGAAGGCAAGCGAAATCAAGATGCTTTATTCCCTACAATTTTAAGGGGCCACAGTCCAACCTTCTAGTATGAACTGCAGGATCTCCTCTTATGATTCCGGGTTCAGCTTGAAGAGGATCACTTCTCCCTATTAGCTTTCTCGCCGAAGCAACAACACCAACATATTCCCAGGCCTTTCCAAGATACATACCAGCTTAATTACCTTCCGTCAAAAGCATCGTCCCATACATACAACTGGGCCTGACGTAATATACTCAACAAGTTTAAGGAAGAAGGGCTTGGCCTCCTGGCAACTGAAAAGCACAAGACTTTTATGTCAAGCTAAAGCGCGTCACTAGTAGTGAACATGATTTCACCTCATATTCTAATGACTTCTCCTCCTTTAGTTCACTATGGATAATTTGAATGGGTAATAAACCAACGACACTTTGGCACTGATGCTACAAATAACAATGGAAATGGAACATCGATCAATTCTTTCGGACACTGGAACAGCTCAAGTCCAGTACGCTTAAATCCCTTCTTCTCAAATCAAACCTCCAGATGATTTCTCTGACCTAAAGGCACGGAAGAAACAGATTCTCGTTTAGACAGATACAACACAATGCATTGCATTCGAAGCTCCGGAGAGTCCATATGATAGATTCTTCTCACAAACAACTAGAAGAAGGAAATTTACAAGGTGTCGCTGTACGCCATCAGGTTTCACCATAATGTAAATTCTCAACTCAACTTGTTTCTTAAGCCAACACAAAAATTCAAAATAATCATCACAAGTACAGAGATAGAGAGAACCATAGAGTCTGACAAGGTGGGGGAGGAAGGTGCCAGGATGGATGGCGGAGGCGCGAAGACGGCGATGACACTGCGAATGGCGCAAGATTAACATTGGCGGGGGAGAAGGATGAGCATTGAACTGCCGGAGCTCTCCCGGCGACGGAGAAGCAGAGACACTCCGGCTTATTTATAACGTTTGAGAGAATGGGACCTAATTGGCAGAACCCATATTACTGGGAACGAAAAGAGAAGGATTGTGAAATGGCGAGGTTGTTTTCAAAGATTACCAAAATGTAATACATAAGCCTTCCCTCAGCAGCATTTGAACGAGAGGCTTATCCACACTGTCTAAAACCCCCAAAACCCAGGAGAGAAGCATGCAAATTCTCCAAACCCCTCATGCCTTCTCCTTCCCCAAATCCATAAACCCTAACTTCTGCAAACCTAAATCTCTCTTCCCAAACCTTCAATGGCGTCTCACTCGGAATATTGTCTTCCCGCCTTCCCGTTGCTTCAGCTCCGACGAGTTCCCCGTCGACGAGACTTTTCTCGAGAAATTTGCGCCCAAGGATAAAGAGACCGAAGACGAAGCTCGCCGTCGCAACTGGATCGAGCGCGGCTGGGCTCCGTGGGAAGAGATTCTGACTCCGGAAGCTGATTTCGCGCGCAAATCGCTGAACGAAGGCGAGGAGGTTCCGCTTCAGTCGCCGGAGGCCATCGAGGCGTTCAAGATGCTGAAGCCTTCGTACAGGATGAAGAAGATTAAGGAGATGGGTTTGACGGAGGATGAATGGTACGCGAAGCAGTTCGAGATCAAGGGGGAGGTACCGCCGCCTTTGGAGACCATGTGGGCGGGGCCGGTGGTGGTGAGGCAGATCCCGCCTCGTGATTGGCCTCCTAGGGGTTGGGAAGTCGACCGGAAGGAGCTTGAGTTCATAAGGGAAGCTCATAAGATGATGGCTGAGAGAGTTTGGGCGGAGGATGTGGAGAAGGATTTGATTGTAGGAGAAGATGCTGTTGATGGAATGTTTTTGGAGAGGTACAAGGTTTTCCTGAAGCAGTACAATGAATGGGTGGAAGAGAACAAGGATATACTGGAGGAAGAATCATATAAGGTTTGTGATCAGATATTTTTTCAAAAGAGTACCTTTTTCATGTCATCCGTTTTCTTTGCTTGACAGTGTTATGCATCTGGGTTTTGAGTTTTATGTTGGGTTAACTTCCTTGTTTATATATAGATTTCGTTTTACTACATGTTTTGTTCAGCGGTTGATTTGTTTCCTTCATTCTCTGGTTGTTCACTCTCTATTATTTGAACTTTTGGTTTACCTTTCAGTATAATGGTGAATTTTTAACATGTTTAGTTGCTTTTGCTGATAGAAATTTTGCAACTTTGGTTTGAGATAACCTTTTCGGGATAAGACCGCAACCCCGCGATAAGTCATGTGAAGCCTTTGGAGGAATCGGTTTCTTTGAACAATGTGACACGTTAGCTTATTAATTTGGACAAGATTCTAATCAATTCCTTGTTATTAATCCAGCACGACCAAGACTACCATCCGGGTCGAAGGAAAAGGGGGAAGGATTACAAAGAGGGGATGGTAAAAATTTTAATCTTTTTTCATGTTTTGAGTATAATGAACTAGCAAATCAAATGTGGAAAGTTGACTGCTCTATTTCTTTGTGCAGTATGAACTCCCCTTTTACTATCCTGGACAGGTAGGTTCTGCATCTCACTTGTAGTTTACTCATTGGCAATCAGATAATTGTTTATGAACAATGACACAGTTTCTGTACAGATTTGTGAAGGCAAAGTTACCACTTTACATCTGTATCAGGGAGCATTTGTTGACATTGGAGGTGTTCATGAGGGGTATACTTCCGTGCTGCCACGTTTTAGATTTAGTTTCCATGATGTCCATATTTTGCCAATTTTTCTCGTGAGATTTCTGATTTCTCCTGGAAATCAAATATTTCTGTAAGAAACTGAGTATGTTACCCTGGTCAGATGTTTGTTGTGCGCTCCATTAGGGTGTATAACTCTCTTCTGTTTGAAAACATGCTTGTCGTGCTGCTGATTTGGACCAAAACTAAACATTTCAGGAAGATAAATTTTGTCTTCCTAACACAAAAAGTTTCATATAGGCTGTAGTGATATGATCGAGATGACAGTCTTCTACTCACTTATTTGTCTTCTGCTACTTGGTTTCCAGGTGGGTCCCTGTAAAAGGTAATGACTGGTTTTGGATACGGCACTTCATAACAGTTGGGATGCATGTTATCGTTGAGATCACGGTACATTGAGACAAATATCTTGTTTTTTTTTCAAGTAAATGGGAAATAAATGGACAAGTTTCATGCTTGTGTTTCATTTTTTGCAGGCAAAAAGAGATCCATACCGGTTTCGATTTCCTATAGAGTTGCGCTTCGTCCATCCTAATATAGATCACCTCATGTATGTAATTTAACATTTCTATAGCATCTTCTCTGTCCAAATTGCATATTCAGTTTACTGTTACATTCGTTCTGTCATTATGTTATCTTGTATAATGTAAATGCATTAGTTTAACTCTGTTTTGGCTTCCAGCTTCAATAGATTTGACTTTCCACCAATATTCCATCGGGATGGAGATACTAATCCAGATGAGTTACGGGTTCGTAGGAGCCTTTTTTGCATTCCATTCAATGTTTCCGTTCTTTCGGAGTCTCTTCTCTCTCCCCTCTAATGTAACATCCTTGCAGCGAGATTGTGGACGACCCCCTGTTCCCAGGAAAGATCCAGGGTCAAAGCCAGAGGAGGAGGCACTGATCTCTGATCACCCTTATGTGGACAAGGTATGTTTTTCCTGGAACATTCTCATGGTTAGAGCTGTTTAATTTGTAAAAGTCATTATCTTTTCATGGACAGATAGCATTTGATGTGTCATTGTTTTGTATTTGTACAGCACCTTCTTAGTATGTTTTCTTTCCCGCTTTGCAGCTGTGGCAGATTCATGTAGCTGAACAAATGATTTTGGATGATTATGAAGCTAATCCCGAAAAATACAAAGGCAAAAAATTATCAGAATTATCTGATGATGAAGACTATGATGAGGAAAAGGATGTTGAATACGGGGAAGCTTATTATAAGAAAACTAAGTTACCAAAAGTGACACTGGTGAGAACTTTCTTCTGGTGGGTTGATTTAACCACATCCTGTCTGAGTTACATGCTATAACAACCTCTTTCTTCTGCCCAGAAAACCAGTGTCAAGGACCTCGACCTGGAAGCTGCTTTGGCTGAGCGTCAGGTTAAATTTCCCTTACCCACTTTTCATCTCCATAATGAGAGTAACGCTCTCTATAGAATAATGTTCATTTACAAGTCATTTGCCTCGCACAATAAGATGATAAACATGTCATGTATATGATCATGTGCCTTCGTGAGGTAAATTCAATTTAGCGTCCGTCTAATAGAATCAAATTTTTAATGGAGTTCCTGAAAGTTTAATTTTGTTGCAATTGGTTCATGAGACGCACATCCTTGTATGATCCTTATTCCAGAGACTCTTAAGATTTTCCCTACCAACTTCTGCAGTACCACAATAAACTACGGATGGAAGCTAAAGAAAGGGGAGAGAGTTACAAAATCCACAAGCTAAGACGAAACATTGAAATGGACGAGTATGATTTCTTACACTGGCGCCGATCCTTTGAGGAAAGAGAAGCCTTACTCAGAGACATCAGCTGGTAAGTTAAAAAAATAATTCTCTTAAACGGTCTGGTCAAGACCAGTTGCAAGTTGACTCATCGTTTGATGCTATTAACTTTTTACGGTTTGGCAGTCGTAAAGCACTTGGCTTACCATTGGAAGAACCGGGGAGGTACAAGCCGGCCAGCTTCTTCGGGAAAGAGCAGTACGACCCAACGAATCCACTATTCCGGTACGACTACTGGGGAGAACCCAAGAACTCAGAGATAAGCAAGCAAGAAAGAATGACTGATGCCCACAACAAATCAATAGTCGGGAAAGGCAATGTCTGGTACGAAATGTCTTACGAAGAGGCAGTGAAGCAGACATTGGAACGAAAAGCACAGTCTAAAGAAACAACTTTGAATCATGAAGAGGATGATGATGATGATGATGATGATGATTTCGATGATTTTGACTATAGCATTCTGGGTGATGACAGTAGTATCGGTTACTCAGAGCACCAGCCTCTTGTTAATGGGACTCAGTCCTCAAGAATATCAGATGAGGGAATGTTCGAAGACTGATCCCGAGTTTACAAGTGTGTAGAGGATTTGGTGTATACTTGTCATGGCCAACAAGTCTCGGCAATAAAAGAAATGATTTCTTGATCAGTTGCCTAAGACATGATCTGTAATGTTACAGATAGTATGTGCCGTGTCCATTCTATGACTGTGCACTTGATCAGTTCCTTGTCGCTACAATCTCGCGTGTGTGTGTGTTTTATTTTTATTTGCTAAACAGTTGCTAGCATTCCAATAGCAGCAACTGCATAAGATTTTGTGGACGTGATCCATTTTGCCACGAATTGTGACCATTCAAATCCTCTTTCAGAACACACCCATCTCCCAAATACATTTGCTGTTTCGCATCTACATATTAACCGAACCACAAGTTCATGGTGAAACGGTCCAATACTACTTGTCCACAGGCCTCTTTTTTTTTTTTGGGTCTCGGGGCAACAGTTATACCCTGAACCAGACAGTCTACAGCCACGTGAGCTGTTTGTTACTTCGCGACCAATCCAAACTATCATCTGCTAACAATATATTAGCAGGTCTTGCGAGTCCAAACACTCCCGACATTGGTCTTCATTGCCATTTGCATCTCCATCCAACAAATTGGCCATTGCTTCTTCTGCACATCCCCCCGCCGTTCTTGTTTATTTTCCTCACTTTTTGGTCCATGCACGATATCATCCTGGCATCTCTGCGTCGGAGTTCTTCATGATCGGCCAAAATCCATTTCTTTCTTTCTTTTTTTCTATTCGTTGTGTGTGGTTTTATAACTCTTGAGGTCATGGAAATGACATCAATCAATTCCTCCTATCTCTCCCTTGTCCACAGCACCATCGTCATTCTCTTGCTTTGGTGTACTACTCTCAAGTTGCTCATCTCCTTCATTCCGGTCCTGGACTTGTTCAGCTCCTTGGCTCTCGTCGAGGGGTTTCTCATCTCGTTCCTTTTGGGTAATGGGTTGACCCACTTCACTTCCACTAACGGGGTGAACATGAGAATGCCTCTCTCCTTCGTTTTGTTCAACTGGCCCTTCATCAGCCTTGCTTTGGTTAAGTGATTGACTCTCTTCACTTCTGCTAAGGAAGTGTTCATCTTCTTCTTCTTGGTTATGGGCAAGGGATTGCATATCTCCTTCGTTTTGTTCAACCGGATGTTCATCGGCCTTGATCTGGTTAAGAGGTTGATCCTCTCCACTTCTGCTAAGGGACTGTGCATCTCCTTCTTCTCCTTCACAGTTAAGGGACTGCTCATCAGCCTTGTTTTGGTTAAGTGGTTGGCCATCTCCTCCACTTCCGCTAAGGGACTGGTCATCTTCATCTTCTCGGTTAAGGCGAAGGGACTGCATCTCTCCTTCGCTTTGTTCAACTGGCTGTTCATCTTCTTCCTCATCCTCGTCTTCATCCATTTTCATATATAGTCCGAGTTGTTCCAATGGATTATTGTTGCCTTGCATCTTGAAACTACCCAACATATTTTCTGAAAACTCGGGGCTCGTCTCTTCCATGAAGCATGGTAATTTGTCACCTTCGGCAACAGCCCTAAGCATCTCAAGGTCTTCCAAAAACTGGCTGTTCTCATTTATGTCCACAGTCTTTTCCATCTGCAAAAGAGATTTATCATAGTCGGAGACTAACGATCTTCTAGAACAATGTGGAAAAACACAGAGGAAGCTTCTTATACATTTTGTAATGCTTGACGTGCGGCTTCTCTCTCCTGTTCCCTTTTTCTCCTTGCTGTGGCTGCAGCTTCTGCGTCAGCTTTTCTCTTAGCCTCCTCAGCAGCTTTGGCCTCAGCTTGTAATCGTGCTTTTTCTAACCAAACGGAGAAATACTTTGACTAACAACAAAACGTTTTAATATAAAATGCTATCATTGCACTCAAAATCCAACCTTCTCTTAGCCGCCTTTCAAATTCCTCTCTTTCAATCCTCAGTTTTTCAGGATCCCCTTTTTCACCCTGGATTTCGATTCATTGGAAGATTTAATCAAAATTTTTCAGAACCGCAAGACAAGCTTTTTCATCATACATACAGCACAAAATCTAAACACTGACCTTGTCAAGGGCCTTCTCTCGAGCTTTCAGAATGGTATCGGCAAAGCGGTTTTTCAACAGAGCTGCTCGATATAGCCTTTCTGGGGATATTTGTCTCTCAGATGGAGCAGTCTCCTCTATAATTGTCATAAAAGACAAGTGAAATCATGATCCAAAATAAACGGTAATTATGCCTCCATAACTAACACTTCTTACCATCTCGAGGGCCATCTGCATCAATGGCAGTCGGCTTGTCGTCAAGCTCCTGCTCAACTTGACCCGATTCATCCAGGGGATCTGCAGATAACAAGTAAAATGTTTCACCAAAACACCCATCCCAGCAAATGCAAAAGCTAAGTAATCAACGAGAAAAACTCACGATTTACAATTTCCACATTGTTGCCACTATTCTCCTCTCTGTTAACAGCGACTCCTGGTTCCACTTTATCCTAAATTGAAGAACAGAGATAGCAATGGATCACCAAATCCCACTTTCTTGAGTAATAGCCCAAAGAGTCCCAGAGAAACAAAATGCAAACCTATGACAAGCAAGAAGGCTCAACAAAAAATGTTAGCCCATTATAGTATACCTTTGCACCAGCAGGATATGAAGCTTTAACAGTATCCAGTTCGCTCCCAGAAGAACTAGTAGAATCAGAATCTGAAAGATAATCACAGGCAGAATCAATAAAAAAAAAACTCTTTATGATAAAAAGAAGGGGAAATTACCCCAGTCCACCATTCTAAAACACAAAAAACTTGACCCCTCTATCATAAATCACCACAACTAAGTGCGAAATGTCTCGCCACTATATCACCAGCAATAGAAAACAATAGTACACAACAGCAGAGAATGAGAATTCTCTATCTTGGCATGTGTACGAGAATCATACCGTTACCATATGCATTAGATTGTAACAAAAAAAAAATTGATTGACCACAAAAAATTGTGTAGACTTTCATCCAGATGTAGTAAACATACGCATCACAAGTCATCACAACCAATAAACAGCATTATGATGACTTAATAAAATAGGTCATCTACATTTTAGAAAAACTCCAAACTGCTATGCAAAGTAAAAATGCAGACTGCGTAATTGTTGGCAGTTGGCCGACTGAATCAGATGACGGTGATAGTTCAGAATTTCGTTTTTCACCATGCAATCCATGAGAGAATTCAATCGTCCTTAATGTGCCTATAATTTCCTAGAAAACACAGGGACCCTGATGAACCGCTACATTTCCAAACAAAATATGACCAATTGAAGTTACATAAAAGACTACCAGACGAGTTGCCACTGGAAGAAGCTAAGGGAATAAAAACTGAAGAACTTAACACCAAAACAAAGCAAGCTGACCATAATCTCTGAACTAATTAATAAAACTACCACACATATAGAAGTTCTAAATTCTGCAAAATCAGACCAATAATAGAGTCCCCAACCAGTGTTTGACCTCTTTGTTTTGCAACAGCAAGGAGATTGTGCAGAAGAGTATGTCGAAGAGTAAAATTTACGTCAAGTAGGGTCACATATGGAAAGTCAATGTTACACGTGAGTGCAAAGCTATATGTCAATGTTACACGTGAGTGCAAAGCTATGTCAATAACTTTGCAAATAAGAACCCTGCCTGCATGGCACACGTCTGCCTTCACAGAGCAGAGCTGCAGATATGAATGCTCAAACCACAAATACTTCAGCGTGAAGAGGTTTTAAATTTTAATTCTTTGACAGTCCCTAATTTCCATAACTGTCAAGCCCTAAAAAGTTTGGCACAAGTTGGTGCAGCACAATGAAGGAACCTCTTCTGTAACTGGTTTAAGGACATAAAATCTAAAATTTTTACGGAATACTTTCCTCTCGCCCCCAACCTACCTCAGTTGTCACAGCTAGTTTTAAAGTTCACACTCTAGTAACTGTGACAGCATCAAGCGATCCCAAGCAGACCAATAGAACAGCACACACCATATGGAGATGATTTCTAAACATGATTTTTCTGAACCTTCTTCTATTTCCTAATTTTGTTTCATGTTTTTCCTTATAATCATGCACAGAGAGTAACACCATATGGAGATGGAAGTGAAAGGTCATGTTATTTATAAGCTGAGCTATTCCTTCCCACAAACTTTATACAAATATATGCAACATTTTCGGGGAAAAAACATGAAACAAATTTAGGAAATAGAAGAAGGTTCACATAAACACGAACCACTAGATGAAGAGCCTGATTCACTACTGGAGCTACTTGAAGAGGTGCCTTCGTTATTTCTACAGCTAGCGTCCTTTTCCATCTTCAGAGGAGGATAGATTGATACAGGGGGGTCATTCCCACTGACAATGTCAACATCCTCATCAATCACCCCATCACCTGCGGTTAAGCATATAACAACAGAACCCAGGGAATTGCTTTTATGGCAAGTTCAAAAAGCCAGTAAAACTGAGATCAAGAAGATGATGAAGAAGAAGAATTGCTACACTGAAAGAAGTTACCTTTACTTGGCTGCGCTGGAGAGTTGCTCAATCCCAGGTCATGAACAATCTATAGAAAATAAGTTCAAGAAAAACGTCAGATGGCACCATCTTAAAGCATGAACTATCAGGAAAAAAATGGCATATAAAGATTCTACACCTCCATTTCACATAATTCGCTTTTTTCCTGGGATTTCTTTTTTTCTGTCATATAGTCATCCAAAAGGCCCCGCAGCTTGAACAAGATTTCATCAGAGAGGTCATCGATATCAATCTCGATCTCTTCTTCGCCACTTTGACCAGCACTGGCGCTCTGTTGTCTAAGGAAATCAGCAATATTTTCTGGAATATCTTCTTCTAAAGCCTCCAGTTCTCTTCTTAATTTTTTCTTGTCTTCATCTGTCATGACCAGATTAGCAGGCTCCATTTTCAACTTGCTTTGGATCACAGCAGCTGAAGCAGTGCCATTTAAGGGCGGGATAGATGGTTCAACCATGGGAATTTTTTTCTCTATACTTTTCCATCTTGTTTCAAAATACTTACTGAGAGCCTGAGCCATGAAATGGTATTCATTTCCAGGTGGATTGTAAGTCATGGAATTTGAAAGGGTAAGACGTACATCAGCCACAAAGTCCAAAGGACTAGAGTATTCACCTTTGCACAGTTTGGTTTTTATCGTTCCAAAATCCATTGGCCGTTTAATAATGGTAAAATAGTCTGGAATTTTCAACTGCACTGGATCAACAGGAACATGAAATGGCCATCCGTACTGATGTGAAATTAAACTTTTGAGTAGTGCCTCACATTGCTTCATCACCTGAGCAAGTGAAAAACTTGTTGAGACAGATTGAGAACGCCCAGATGGACCTTTCTTTGACCGCGGCATATTAGTACGCAAAGCACCACGTTTTTTGCCAACAGATCTCCCAGATCTTTCTGGCAGAAGCCTCCTGGGTCCATCACTGCAACTATGGATATCACTACGAGGGGACACCAGAACAACATCTGAATTCATAGATGCAAGCTTCCTGTGAAGGTCCTGAACCCGTTCAAGGTCGATCTTCAACTTGCAAATTAAATCCTTTCTCTCAAACCTCGACAACTTCGACAAAGGCACAACTTCCTTTGGAACACCACGGCCATCCCCATTCAAGCTAATGTGTTTCCTTTTTTGTGCACAGGAATCGTCAGAAAGGGTCATCTCCGTGTCCATTCCACCTGTGTAACCAAACCCTTCAGATTCCACCGTGTTCTCAACAGCGTGCCGGTAGTCAGGAACAAAACGCGGAGATTGCCCTTTAGAGTACTTCCGTGCTTTACCCATCGTTTCTAAAGCCAAAAACTTCTTTGGTTCCTTTTGTCCCAGGAAATTCACAGGAATAGCCGGTGCCATAAGCCAAACTTCAGGTGCCTACGCATATCAACTTGAACCATCGACTTTATTTTCGCATCAGAGTTCCAAATTTCAATCTAAGCATCAGCAGTCCATGCGCTTTCTGAAAAATTTATGTCCCTCCTCAAAATACTCGCAAATTCCTTACTCGATTACTCTCAAACCCTAGTAGAAAATGGTATGAAGCTTCGAACAAATATGCTTCCGATTGAAGAATACTTGATGACATCAAGATGGAAGAGCCTCTTCTTCTTCAATGCCCAGATTAAAAGACGAAAGAACACCCACTACATTAATCTCGGCAAGTAAACCCTCGACGGTTCCCAATTTCCCGCCCAATCTTCTCCAAGATCCCCTGTTATCGTCACGCCAAGAACCAGTTCCCCCGAACACAATCACGAAACGCAATTATCCAATTGATCCAATAACCGAATCTGATGAATTACGAGCACTTACAAACTCAGAATCGGAATCGACCTAAAGCTCTTATTTCCTTCCCTCGCGAGACACCCAAGAGACGAGAGAAAACCGCGACCGGGAATAGCCACCTCAACCGGAGATTAGGGAAAATCAAAAAACAAACCCTACAAAAACCCTAGACTCTGCGACGCGATAAACGGTCCGAAAACCTAGATCCGGCGATTTCAACCTCGAAAATTCGAAATATCATAACCTTGTATCACAGAAGAGAGAGAGGAGAGAGAGAAATGTGCGCAACGATGCAACGAGTTTGCTCCTCTACTTATAGGTCCGAACCGCTGATCTGCCGCCGCCATTAATCGAATCCCGTCCGTCCATTAAGTCCAGCCAGATCGACGGCTAGGAATATCGGTTATATATACACCGTTGAGATTAGATCTGACGGCTGATGAGAGTCCATCACTAGTGCGTAGATCTGGACCCTTATCTAGAAGAATCCAATTAAAAAACACGTAATGGAGAAAATCTATGGAGACCTCACTCGCCCGAGTATGAAATGCATAACTCGCGTTGATTGGCTGCTCATGGATTCAGACAAACCTTGACACGTGTCAGAAGAGGGACAGGAGCGTGGTAAATCAATGGCCACCGACTTTATCTCCATTATTTGACTTTTCACCGCCACTTGACGCGCCTTGCTACTCGCGTCTCGATAACACGTGCTTTATCTAGGCACAATTATGTTTGGCCGCGGTTATTATTCCTACAATTGATTTAACCATATTTATAACGTTTATTAGTAATAATATGTCCCAAAAATAGTCGCCACAGAGTTAAAAAGAATGGTCTAATAAAAAATAACGTGTCTTTTTCGAATCCCATCTTGGGTTAATTTTTATAAAAAAACGCCGACTTATATTTCAAATTAAGCGTTAATCAATTACAAAAAAAAAAATTAAGCGTTAATGAAACTATTGGGCTGTTAATGTTATGGGCATTTTCATATAATCCTAAATAGAAGAATAGTTTTTATTTTGAGTGTTTTTGGTTTTTTATTTTTGTAATATTTGTAAATATAAAAAATATAATTTTTTTGTTAGTTTATAATTCATTAAAATAGTTTTTCAAATTTTTTTAAAATCAAATTTATAAAATCTTAATTGTCAATTTTTTTAAAAACTTTTAAAAACCCAAAAAACTACTTTCATTCAACTTTAGACATTCAAAACATATATAATTTCTTTGATGGAGATATCACATTTGCAATTTTAAATTTAATTATGTACAGGTCACTATTATATAATACATCTACGCGTACACGCAAATATGGTTTTAAAAATGTAAGTTCATATATATATATATATATATATATATATATCATATTAGTAATTGAACCCCAATTTAGGCCACTTTGGTTGTACACTACATATCAAAACCCGCAATTGTATTATATGCACACAGACATAGGCATAAACATGAATGTACATCGGCCCAATATATATTATACATTTGTCCCTGCATATATGATAACAATCCCTCAAATAGATTTGGAATAAATAAATATATGTTAACCATTATGAGATTCGGAATGATACTAAACAAATACAAGAAATGTATTATTGGCCTTTTTTTTTTCGAATAATACAACTGCCTTCGAAGACTCGGAGAGAACGATGATTCAATTAAACCGGAAAATTGCATATAAAAACCGGCACGATCGAATGCAAACCGGCCGGTTTTCTCACAGCTTTGACGAATTACCAGCCACGGCAAGTTTCGTCAACTCCCTCCTCAAAATCTTACCTGCAGGATTCTTCGGAATCGCGTTTGTGAACGCAACTCGACGAATCTTCTTATACGGAGCAACCTACACATAACACAAGGGAATCCAACATCAATATCTAAACCCGTAGCCATACCGAACCGACTCAAATCCGGTTTGATGCGAACCCAATGCAATTGTACCAAATAACAGATTCAAGAGAGGCAGACGAATCTATCTAACAGAACATACTTGTCTGGCCACGAACTCGATGATTTGTTCCTCGGAGATGTTGCTTCCCGGTTTTCGTACTATAAAGGCCATTGGAATCTCGCCTGCATCCTCGTCTGGATACCTGAACCGATCAAATTTTGTAAACGAAATCCAATCACATTTCAACGGAAACCTAACGAAAATTTCAAGAACGGGAAAGGTTTTTTGGTCGAAAAGGTATACTCACGGAACGACGGCTGCATCAACAACTTCCGGGTGAGATTGAAGGATCTGCTCCAACTCCACAGGTGGAACCTATGATTTCATATCCATCCATATCAAGAATTGAAAAAAAAAAAGAATATCTCGGCCCAAATCTTATTAGAAGTTTTACCTGATATGCCTTGTATTTGATCAATTCTTTTAACCGATCAACAATGTAAAGAAAACCCTCGGAATCAAAGTAACAGAGATCTCCCGTCTTTAACCAGCCTTCTCGATCTATAGTTTCCTCGGTTGCCTTCTCGTCTCCCGCATAACCTGCGCTTTAGCTTATTCAGAATTCACCAAGTATCGGGTTCAAATGGGGTTTCTTTTTGTTTTGGTCATGACTTTCTTACTCGTTTTCAGAATCGGTGTCTATGAAACATTCATAGATATTGAATTATCTTTCTAATGGTGTACGTAATGCATGATTTGATATGTATACGAAGGGAGGGATATTGAGAACATTAGCCGTGGAGGCGAGAGCCATTGTTACCTTTCATGACAATGGGGCCACGAAGCCAGAGCTCGCCTTTCTGGTTAGGCGGTAAGGCTTTTCCGGTAACCGGATCGACGATCTTTCCTTCGAGATTTTCTGAAATACGACCAACTGAGCCGTATCTCACTGTCTCCTCTGGTCCGAACGTTGATGACGCTGGTCCCGAGCTCTCTGTCAAGCCGTACCCCTATGACAAGATATTGTATAAACGCCATTGATGCAAAACTCTAAATCAAATCTAAAAGTCCTTTGAATTCAGACAACAAGTGATGTAATTGTCTCATCTCACCTGAATAATCTCGACGTCGGGGAACTTCTCCTTGAACTTCTCGGCGACGTCCTTACCCAGCGGAGCTCCGCCGCATCCGAGCGACCGCAACGACCGGATATCGTACTTCTTCGTCAGCTCCGATTTGATCAACGCCACGATCAGCGGCGGAGACACCGACATTCCTGTGACCTTGTACTTCTCCACCGCTTTCAGCATCGCCTCGAAGTCGAATCTCTCCAGAAGAACCAGCGTATCTCCCAGCGACATGGCTCGGACCAACATCGCGAACCCGAACACGTGGAAGAGCG